ATCTGTCTCTCCTAAAACTGCTCTTGGCCTTCTGGTTGGGTCTTTCCAGTCGTACTTCCTCACCAGTATGAATTTTAGGCACCCCTCCTTACTCCAAGAGCAGCCACTGAAACGGTTAGACACACACACATCATGATCAGCATCATCACCTCTCAAGGACAAACATGTATCCTGAGAATGGGTGGTTCAAAGCTAATGAGAAAAAATATTTTTCTAATCAGCCTATGACTTGGCAGGAAGCCCCTCCGCCCTGAAGTCAGCAGTCAGGTTGTTTTGCAGAGTAGAGTTTAGACCCTTTCCTTTTTCACCCCACCTCTAAATTACCTTCTTCCAGTCCACTTGGGAACAGGGAAAAGCCAGCATGACTTAAGAGCTGCTCTTTTAGTTATACAAATGGAAGCTTTGAAATATCTATTTTATTACGGATTCTATTCTTAGTCATAAATTGTTGTTCACCTGAGTTTCCTTCTGGGGTACATAGAGGAGATGGCTTGTTTTCGTTATGATCTGTCTTCTGTTTCTACTCCTCTGTTCTCCACATTGTTTCATTTCCCGTATTCCAGTTCCACACCCCGTATTCTCTCCCACAGTTCTATAGTCCCAGGAAGACCTCAACTGCATGCTGTCCTTGACACCTCAGTTTGCCTGGCCAACCTGGAATCTTCCCTTTTGTAATTTTTTTTTCCTTTGGCAGCTTCCCACAGAACTGCACTATATCATTTACTATCATCTAATATGCTGACTGAATGAATGAAGGAGTAAATGCAGCACTGTCCAGCACGGCTTGTTCATTTCGTCCTTCTGCAGACAGGCCCTCAGTGCCTATTAGGTGTTGGGTACAGAGATGACATTCACCGAGCTCTTGAAATGAATTAACACCTGCCATTTATCTCTACATCAGTTCTGATTGACTTCAGCTATCTCTCTTAAACACAACACCAGCTCTAAACACAGAACAAATATCTTTAAAAACACACACACACAAAGTTAAAAAAGCAGTGTGGACTTGGGGAGGGAAAGCGGGTAGAAAACGAGAGGCAGAGATGAGGCTGTGTTACAGAGGTGGGTGGCAGGATAATAGCTTACTCTAATTCAAAGTTTCACTGCCTGCGACTCCCAGAAAGCTTCCAAGAATCCACAAAAGTGAGAAAAATTACTTTGAGTGGATAAAAATGGATTAACAACAAATGTGAGGACTGGTAGAAAGGAGTGAGGCCAAAAGCAGACCTGAAATCCCATTTCTGAAACCGAGGCAACTGTGTCCGGTGGCTTCCCGGAGAGGAATCTCTCCTTACTGCCCCCCACCCCTTTCATCAGGCAAACTGGTCCTGCAGGAAAGCCTGAGGCAAGGGCTTTTGAGCCATTCCTCCTCCATCCCAGAGAAGGAGGATTATAAATGTCAGGGTGGATTTTGCCTTAGTAACCTGATCATTCGACGCCTCTCTCCTCCTCCATTCTACTGATGGGGAGACTGAGGCCCAGAGACTGAATCTAAAATGTGGCACAAGCTGCATCGTGGAACCAGGAACGGAGCTCAGGTCTTCTGACATCCAGCTCACTGGATTGTGACTATCCAATGACAGCAGGATCGATTATAAGCACCAAGAAAGAAAACAAGATAGTTGATTTCCTCAGGTGTTAAACCCTCAGAAGTGAAATCTATTTTTCACTGAGTGTCTACGCGAATTCTCAGTGTGTGAAGGCTTTACCTCTCTTATTTGGGGTAAAAAGAAAGTGTGCTTAGTGGGAGTCAGGAGACCTCAGCTGGAGCTCAGACTCCCGCCCGTCCTTTGTGGCAGCTTCAGTTCAAGCCAGTCACCCTTTCTGACCTGTGACATTTGACATCATACAAAGTTTCAGACAAATCCGATAGAAGTCTTTTCTGTCCAGCAGGATTGACAGCAGGGCCTGAATTCCACTTTTATCCATTTAAGGCAGATATTTATTAAGCTGTCCTGGGGAGTGAGTTTCTCAGCTGGTCTCAGATACAGTCAGATACCAGTCTCTGCCCTCCAGGCAGTCAAAGCCTAGAGAGGGATGACAGCAGACACAGGAGGCTCCCTTCCCTGGGAGGCTTTGAGTTCTCTGAGCAGGAATGTGAGTGACTCTGGGACATGAAGTAGCTAGGTTCTCAGTTATTTCCTGAGACCAGGCTTTCCTTATAAGGAATGAGGAAAAAATCAGGATAGGCAAGGTATCAGCTAGAATGGTAGGAATTCCACTGGGACCCACAAGTGAAGGTGATCTGGGGAGACAGTTTGTGCCTTTTCTGCAATCCCTAGAACCACACCACAGGGACAATCTGTGGTCCAATCAAGACAAGGATTTTAATTCTGTCCTTAGACGTCCATCGTCAGGTAAACAGACCCACTGCCACCTGGTTTGGTCCTTCCTCCAAAACTGTCTGTCACTTGACTCCAACTAGGAGTTATAGGCAATGCTGGTCGAGTCTACCATTCTGCCAATGGGGCAATCTTCCTTGCTCTCCATTGTGTGTCCAGGTTCAAGGACCACTTTTCTGTCCTCATTGTAATTAGTCTATCTGCAGCATGGACCCAGCTGACTGTGCCTTCTTTCTTGAAACAGGCCTCACTTTCCTCCTACTTCAGAGACCTCCTCTTCTTGGGTTCTTAGTTGTCTTCCCCGTTGATGAACCTCTACATGGTGGAGGTGCCTCGGACTTGCTCATGAGCCCTCTCGTCTTCCCCACCTACGCTTTCTGCCTGTGTGATACCCATTCCCATGACTACAAAGGCCAAATAGATGCTGACGGTTCCCTAATTTGGACCTCAGTCCTCAGTTTGCCTTTGAGCACCAAATTTATCAATGCATCTTCTGATTCCGTAGCTTCCTTTGGCTAACCAGTAGGCATCACGCACTTAACATGTCCAAAATGAACGCCTGATTTCCCCAAAATACAAACACATGAACACACACACCTTTTGCTCAAGCCAAAACCAAATTGTCGCCCCTGGTTTATCTCAGCCAAAAGATAATCCATCAACCTCACTTGACAGCCTCTCTCCAAAATCCCATAATTAGCTCTATACCTCCCTGCAAACAACTTCAGCAGCGTGACAAGAGAGATGGTGGCTGATGGATCTCATCCCACTTATCACATCTGCCACCACCGTGCCACTAGAGATGTTTGATTCTCTTTCCTAGTTGTATAACAAAAAAAATTCCAGGGATGGATTCCAATAGGTTCGGTTCAGATTCCCACACTTGAACCAATCCAGTTCCCACTACAACTACTTGGTGGATGTATGTGAAGAATAGTTTTCAAAAGGAGGGCAGGGCAGTGTCCAGGAAACAGGCACTTCTGGGCAGATAAATCTCAACAGGTGTCCACCTCCCTCTGTTAGTGCAGTGACCACCATGTATTCTAGGTCATGTGCTAGCCTAACTGTACCCCTTATCTCACCATATGATGAGTGCTTCCAATCAGGGACCAAGGCTTCAGCTTTTCTACAACTCACTACCTAGTGTTGTGCCTGGAATAAAGAAGTATGTACTTAACAAAAAGCTAGATGAATGAATGACAAAGCTAGCAAGTAGAATGAAGATATTGCTGGTAAGAAAGATCACCCAGGGCTAGAAAGATTGGGAAATGATTTTTGGAGGTTATAAGAATGAACACAGGTGCTGAAGAATCAGCCAACATTAGAATTGCAGACAAGAGAGAAGGAGTGATCCCGGACAGAGGGGATTGCCTTAGAAAAAAACAAAGTAATAAGCACACAGTGATGTATAATGGATATGGTAAGCAGCCCAACCTGAATGAAGCGAAGTGTATGGGTCAACGAAGTACTGGAGGCAGGGCCGGCTTCATGAGCTTGTGTGTGACTCATGCAGATGCTCAGGGCCCCTGTGTTCAGAAAGAGGTCCCGAGAATGGGATTGAATGCATATTGTTGCCATCTTGAAACCTTGATAATTGCGTGTTTGAATCTCTGATTAGTGGAATCCAGTGGAACAGTGAGGCATGCACCAGGGGCGATCAATGCCTTCACATCACCTCCCAGCTTCTCTAGGATGGGCTCTTGGCCAGCTGTTTCCCTGCTCCCACCCAGTAACTGCTGCTCCCTCCATCTTGGTAGGGAAGGGGACTGGGAAGGGGTTCATGGAGGGTTGAGGTCCAGCACTGAGTTGCCGAGTGGAACCAAGTTTCTTCATGGGGTATCCATGACTCTAAGTCTTAGGGTGGGTCCCTAGCTCCCTGTGACGGTCTACTCTCACCCTGTCAGTATACTTGTGATCTCTCAGTAAATGACATGAAATAGCAGATAAAAATCCACGACTGTTTAAGACACTATGGAAAAAAGAAAAAGCTATTTTTCTGCTTTTTGAGCAATAAGCCCCACATTTTCACCTTGCACTGGGCCCCACAAATGATGTCACCAGCCCTTAGAAGAACTGAGGCTGGACAGGTAGGTCGGAGACAGGCTATCAATGACTTTGACTGCTATCAGGCTCAGCCTTCACTTTGCAGACCAAGACTGGCACACTTTTCTATGAAGAACCAGGTGGTAATTACTTCAGTCTTTGCAGGTCACTCGGTCTCTGTTGCAATGATTCAACTCTGCTCTTATAGTGCAAAACTGTCAGAGTCAATATGTAAACCAGAGGGAGAAGCTGTGTTCTAATAAAACTTTATTTAAAGACAGACAGTGGGCCAGATTTGGCCTGGGGTGGCCATAGTTTGCCGTCTCCTGCTGTAGACAAAAGGGAGCCGTTGAAGGCAACAGAGCTGCAGAAAGATGCAATTAGAGAAGATTTTCTAGAAGGTTAACTTGGCCTGACTGCCCAGGGTGGGTGAGGGTCAGTCTAGAGGCAGACGATTTTAGGAAAGAGAATCCTGTGAATCTCCAAGCTCGAGGAGCCAGGGGCCGAGGCTTGGGAGCAGCAGTGGGGTGGAAGGGCAGGACGAGGTAATACAAAAACCTCACGAAGGTGCTGATGCCAAGGCCACTGACCTGACTTGGACCCTGTCCCATGCAGAAGGGAGGAAGAGCAAGCGGAGGGTTCGTACCACCTTCACCACCGAGCAGCTGCATGAGCTGGAGAAGATCTTCCACTTTACCCACTACCCAGACGTCCACACCCGCAGTCAGTTGGCAGCCAGGATCAACCTCCCAGAAGCTCGGGTGCAGGTACAGCCATCCCTGCCTCAGGCCCCAGCCTCCATGCCCTTGGGACCACGTGTGAGACACTATCTATCCCGGGCCCTTCAGGGTTGCCGCATCTGAACGTTTCCGTTGGCTTTATCCTGTGAGTACAGTCATTTTGGCCAAATACTACTTTCTGTGAAATGAGGTCACCATACTTCCAAAACGGTTTCTCTCCTCTGGGAATGGAAAGGGAGTGAAGTGGCATCAGTGATCACCATGAACCTCTGCTCCATACCCTTCCTCCCCACTTGGCGACAGTTCCAAAACATCAGTCACCATGCAGCCTAATTTACAAAATAGGTCTTGACTGCCTAGACCAGGGGTCAACAACCTTTCTGCAAAGAGTCAGATGGTAAGGACATTAGGCTTTGCCGGGTCAACTGTCAGTGTCAGAACAATGGTTCACCCAGACCAAGGCAGCCTCAGAAAATATGTAAACAGACTTTATTTATGAACATGAAATTTGAATGTTGTGGAATTTGCCTGTGTCATAAAATATTACCCTTCTTTTAACTTTTTCCTAGCCAGTTAAAAATGTGAAAACTATTCTTAGTTCAGGAGCCATTCAAAAGCAGGTGGAAGGCCAGATTTCGCCTTTAGCCGGCAGTTTGCCAACCCCGTGATGTCTAGAAGGCACGGGGATCCCATTGGGGGCAGTGTAGAGAAGTGGAAAAGGTCTTGAATTCATAGTCTTTGTCGGAGACCTGGTTTGAGCACGGACAGGCTAATCTCTCAACTGTAATCTCTTCACCCCAGGTGATTTTTGCTTCATGTGAGATTAGAAATAAAGTAGCCCACTGTCACTCACCAGAGGTATTTCCTGCCCTCTTCCCGCATGCCCAGCTTTGCACACGTTGGTCCACCAGACCTGACTGTGGCACCATCAGCATTCTGTCTAAAACAATTTTCCAAGTCGCTCTCCTTTTTTCTTTCCACAAATGAGACGAACTCATTCTAATTCAAAATCAGGCCGACATTCCATTCTTTATTCTATCCTTTCCTTCTGGCTGAGGACCCCTCCTGTCTTAGACTTCCCTCCTTTTCCTTCCCACCTAGAATCAGACACTAGCTAAATGGGAGGCCCCTGTGTCTGCCACAAAGCCCAGAATTCAACACCTGCCTATGCAGAATTACCAAGGATAAATGGCCACAAGTCGGGGACCATGAGCACCTGCTCAGGAATGCAGGGAGCTGCCAATGTTCAGCCTGCCAAGGGGCCCCAGGGGCTGAAAACAGGTGGCCCACTGGTGACCCACACATGACTTTCGCTTGGTCTGCACAGTATTTTAAAACATAGAAGCTTTCACATACAAATCAAGATTCCACTTTGGAGACGGCATGAACCAGCAATGCTGGACTCCCATCTCCACGTGGTGACTGTTGACAAGAGCTGAGGAGCTGCGGCCTTTCAGCTCCATTCACCACAAACCCCACCACTCCTAACTGTGCAGCACCAATGGCTTCACGCATGCATGGCCCCCCAGCCCTGAAGGTATTGAAGGTAGAAACCCTGGTTCCCTCTCAGAAAGCTGACCTCCAGATGCAAAGACATCCTGGATGCCACAGAGGCTTTACAAACTTTCAAGTGCTGTCCCTTGGAAGGTGCAGTTATTATGAATTTCGAGGAGGTGGTATTAGACAGAGGAAAACTCTTGCTTATCCCCATCCTCTCTCCCTAATTACAGATCTGGTTCCAGAACCAGCGAGCCAAGCAGCGGAAGCAGGAGAAGACTGGCAGCCTGGGGGCCCCACAGAAGCTGAGTGAAGCCAGCATGGCCCTGCCCGCAAATCTGGATGTGGCTGTAAGTGGCTGAGGTCTCAAGGTGGGGTGGAGGGAGCCATCGTCTGGGAGTATCCCAGTCAGATCTAGATGTGAAGAAACACCCTGGGGGCTCTGCTACAGGAAAGAGTGCAAGGAAAATTCTTTTAGAAACAACACGGGGCAAGGAGAAATCTGGAAGACTGTGGGGCCTGGGATAAGTGGCTGCCTCTCTGTCCCCATGTCCTCCTCCCTTAGTGATGATCATGGTGCCCGTCCTTCCTGTGCAAAACTTCTCCGTTTACAAAACAGGGACACAGAGGGAAGTGCAGTACACAGACGTTGGACCCATGGGCTCTGGAGTCAGACTGCCCGAGTTCTAATCCCAGCTCTCAACTGCCTGAGGTATGACTTGGAAGAGTCACCTTATCCTTCAGAGAATGCAATCAAGTTTTTTGATGAGGATGAAATAACTGAGACATAGAGGATGCTTAGCACCTAGGAAGTGTTCCCTAAGTATTTAGGGAGCCATCCATGGAGACAACACATATTTTTGAGTGTGTACCAGGTGCCAAACACTGGGGATAGAGGAGTAAACAAAATAGCTCTTCCCTGCCCTAGAGTTAAAGGTATTTACACACCCGCAGCAATGCTGTGAGATGGGATTTTTCATTTATTCATTCTTTGCAAATGCGGAAGCTGGGCCCTGAGAAGGAAAATGATATTTCCCTGTCAAACACTGTGAGTACCAGGATTTTCTAATCCCCAGACCAAGCACTTCTCCTCACCTACGGTAACCAACCATCCAGGTTTACACGGGTCCATACACGACTTTCAGAGTGAAACCCAGAAAACCAGAGAAAACCAGAACAAGTTGATTGTATTACCCACTCTGAGCTGCTCAGGCCGTGGAGGGAAAGGCTGAAAAGCTGCAGAAACAGCTTGGGACTCAATTCTGTCTTCTGACCTCTCCTTGTGACAGGGACCCATGTGGACATCCACCGCTCTGCACAGGCTGGCTCCTCCCATGGGGTGTTGTCCGTCTGCTCAAGGTCAGCTGGCCTCGGCCTGGATCCCTGCCCGGATCACCTTCCTCCCATGGCACCCATGGGAAACGCAGCCTGTCCCAGGTGCTCCCACCCATCAAACTTGCATCTCTACGCTGTGTTCTTCCACCTCCACACCCTAAAAGGGGCAGCATCTGTGCTACCTCAACATAGAGATTGGACATCCTCTCCTCAAATGAGCCACTCTCCTCTCCAGGTGAAGGCAGGTAGCAGATGTGCCCTGGGCCTCTGGGGGAATCGATCTTATAATCCACACATGGCCCACAGCCCAGGAAGCTACCCTGAACATGCCAGTTGGAAGGTGGCACCAGACTCAACAGCAAAGTAAACGGTAAAGGACAGCTCTCTTCTCTCCTGGCCAAAGCTGCTTTCCTGGTTCAGAAGACAGGCTGGGTGAGATCTCAGGCCGAGCTCTGAAACGGGATGGTAATCCTCTAGTGCCTGTGCTTCCTCTAACTTGCTGTGTGACCTCCAGCCACTCACTCACCCTCTCTGGACCTCATCTGTTAGAGGAGGCAGCTGGATAAAATGATTTTTGAAGACCTTTCCATGGTGGTCACTGAGATACAGAAGAGGCCAAAGAGAGATTGTTCATGTATGCACTCATCCGTGACGTATGAGCACCCACTGGGGACGCCATAAACAGAACTGGATGTAGAAATAAACAACTCGGGTTCTGTCCTCGTTCATCAAAGCGTAGTGCTGGCCCGCTCCTGCAAGCAGAACGCTTGCTCAGCAACCTTGCTGTTGGCCCGAGTCTAACATGTTCTTTATGATTGTGAGCATCTCAGAGTGAGAGGAAAATGTAGAAAGGTTTTAAAATTCTAAACAGGATTTAGTGTCTTTAGTTATCCTGCTGGATTGGGAAGAGATGTCATTTCTGGCACGAATGAAAAGTAGGACGGTGAGCTCTTTTCATTCGGTTTATCTTTCCGGGATATGTGCAAGGGGACCAGATGGAAGACCAGCCTCACTCTGTCCTGGAAAGCCCGAGCTTTCAGTCAACTCCCTGTTCCCATGCAAAGACCCCGGGCAAACCACATGCTCTGTCTGAGCCTCAGTTTTCCTTTCTGTAAAATGAAGGTAGTAATTCCCACTGGTCTTCTGCCTCAAAGAGCATTCAGGACGCTCTGAGAGGACATGGGAGTACTTTGCAAAGTGAGGGTGAGGCCTCGCACGGAGTCATATTGTTATTCCAAGATTCCACTGCGAAAGTGGCTGCTTTGGGTCCCAGCCCAGGAAGAGTAGCTCCTGCTCTCAGGGAGGTCATCGCTGAGCTTCCCTTCTGCACGGGTGTCCCTGATTCTTGTCTTTGCAGGTGGAGGACTGGGCCTGCTCTGCTAAGCCTGGAAGCCTGGAATGACCCCTTGCACAAGCCTAAAGTAAATTCAAGGAATCTTCCCCAAATCCCAGATCTTCTGCAATCTACCTGTTGCCCTGACCCACCCAGGAGTTGGACCAGGAGCTGGCATCCCTGCATCTTAGTCCTGCACTCCTAATTTGCTGTGTAACCTTACCTAGCTAGCTATCCTGGCTCTGCCTGCAGGCATGCATTATGCCAGAACTACAGACAACAGCTCACAAGATGCAAAAGTGCTTTGCCATCTTAAAAGTGCCAAATCACTCAAAGCCTATGAATGTGGATATGGACACCCAGTCTCCAGCACCGCAGGATGAAAGGAGAAGGCTAGAGAGTGAGGGAGGAAAAATCAGTTAACAAACAAAGGTAGTAGCTCATCACCTGGGTAGCAGGTGCCCATTTGAGGACCCTAAACTCAAATGTGCAAAATAAAATTTCTTTTTTTTTTGAGACGGAGTTTCGCTCTTGTTACCCAGGCTGGAGTACAATGGTGAGATCTCGGCTCACCGCAACCTCCGCCTCCTCGGTTCAGGCAATTCTCCTGCCTCATCCTCCTGAGTAGCTGGGATTACAGGCACGTGCCACCATGCCCAGCTAATTTTTTGTATTTTTAGTAGAGACGGGGTTTCGCCATGTTGACCAGGATGGTCTCGATCTCTCGACCTCGTGATCCACCCGCCTCGGCCTCCCAAAGTGCTGGGATTACAGGCTTGAGCCACCGCGCCCGGCTGCAAAATAAAATTTCTATCATTTTGCTATAACTGGATTTACTTTCTGTGATGTCTGCAGGAAATGCATGCTGGTAACTTCTAGGTTACTGATGCCTCCGGCACCTCAGGTTTAAAGGCAGTCACTTGAGATCGTTGCCTTCTGCTCCCCTTCTTTCCACAGGGATCTTTGCTAGGCTGAGGGGGAGGGTTAGAGAAGTATTTTTGCAAATGCCACCTCCAGCCTCCCAGAGGGGATGTTTGCTTCCCAGATTTCTCAGTCTCCGACTGGGGTCTTGCCTAGCCTGGTCTTGGGCATGACTCCTCTGCCCTAGAGATGCATCACCCCCTTCAACTCCCTATTGGGGGCTTACTCCACATCCTCTGCTGCAGCCTCTCACCACAGTTGTGAACCCTCCCTGGCTTCCTCTCTCTCTCTCATGAGCAAGAGGAAAAGCTGACAGCCCTCCCATACCCTGCTGGAGCCATGGGAGCCCTGGGCCAGGCAGCAGGCCTCACTCACTCTAGACCTGCCACAGCCATTCCTCATGCCCTGGTGATAGGAAGGTCATGGGTGAGACGTGCAGATCTCCACATTGTAAGAGGAATGGAAAAGAAGCAGGTTCCCTCTGCTCTGGGGTCCCACTCCCCTTCTCAGGCACAAACCCTTCTTCCCCAGGCTCCTCTTGAAACAGGATTTTCCCAACCCTAAGAGGTAACAGGTGGCCAGATGTCTCAGCTTCACTATTAAGGTAAACATTGATTTTGTGAGGCCATTTCTTTCCCCCTAGGAATTTTCTCCCCAATAACTACTTTTATTCCCTTTATCTTCTGTGTGTGGGACAAATGAATCACTTGCTTAGAGCTCTCACCAGCTATGTGACTTTGAGCAAGCGGCATGTCCCCTCTCTGTGCTTGTTCCCGGGATAACAACAATTTCTTGCCTCTTAGAGCTTCTGTGACAATTAAATGAGCTAATACATTTTGGCACACGGTGAGCACTCAAGACATATTAAGAAAAAAGTCATTTTCCCAAATACACCTTCTGCCCCTTTCTACTTCCGAGCTTGAGCATCTATTCTGATCTCAAGTTCTGTTCCAGGAATTCTTAAAGCAGTCTCCAGGAAGTCAAAGAGCTCTCAAGAGACTATGCCAAATTGTATGTATCTGTGTGTTTATTTTTTCTAGGGAAAGGGTTCATTGCTTTCATCAGCTTTTCAAAGAGCTCTGGGGCTTAAAAATAATAATAATAAAGAATCCCTGTCAGACATATCTGAGTCAGATTTTGACAGCTTCATATTCTAGCTATGAGGACTACCAACTTGAGAGAAGATCAAGGATAACTATTTTAGAAAGGTAAAATTTAAAAAATTGCTATGGTTTGAATGTGCACCCCCCAAAAAGTGTGTGTTGTGAATTTAATCACCATTGTAACAGTGTTAAGGGATAGAACTTTTAAGAGGTGATTAGGCCATGAGGCTCTGTCCTCATGAATAGACTAATGTTATTACCAGAATGGGTTCTTTATAAAAGAATGAGTTCAGCCTCTCTCTCTCTTCCATCCGCCCCCAACCACCTTTTTCCTTCCACCATGGGATGACAGACCTTGACAGCAAGAAGGCCCTCAGCAGATGCCAGTCCCTTGTTCTTAGACTTCCCAGACTCCAGAACCATAAACCAATAAATTTCTGCTCAATCGTTATTACCTTTGTGTGGTATGCTGTAATAGCAGCACGAAGTGAACTAAGGCAAATAGAAAATGAACAAATGCCCAAGTTTTATTTAACTCATTAATTAATGAGAGAACTGCTAAGATGTCATAATGAGCTCAAAGGTGAACATGCACACATATTCAAAGAACAGACAAGCATACAGGCAATCAGGAATCCTGAAATGAATTACAAATAAAGAAAAACAAGAGCCAATAGCCATAGGGAAACAATCAATTTCATCTCCACTAAACATGACTCATTTGCATTTCTATTGACAAGAATAATTTGCATTTCTAACCAATTTCTACTCACTTAAGTTGAAAAATAGTTCAAAGATAATAAAGATGCAGATATCCTGAAAGAGTGTGCCAGACAGAATACCCTATAATCTTTACATGCCCCTTTCAAAGTCTTTCACAATTTTTTGCCCACATAAAGTTACTTTGTCTCGCTGAATCTCATTTTCCTCATCTATTAAATGGGGATGACAAGACCCACCTCAGAAGATTGCTGTGAAGATTCTATTAGATGATGTGTGTTTAGTTTTGTGCTTATAAAATACTTTATGAGTATAGGAAATTTTTATTGCTTTTAAAGCTCCTCTAGAACTCAGGTTTAAAAGCCCATATCTGGAAAGTGTTTTGAACTGCAGTAACTTTTTTTTAATGTCCATTCACCTTTTATAGTTCAATTTCTTAAAAGGCTGACCAAGCAATAAAAAATAGGCAAAGAGCAAGAATCAGAGATTCACAGGAAAAGCATACAAATGCATACTAAACATATGAAAGATTCTTAACCTCACTCATAATTTAAAATGTCAGTGATGAAATATATTTTTAAATCTTAGATTGGCAAATACGTAAAATGGTAAGGAATTGATGAAACAGGCACTCTCATATATAAGAAAGTATGAATTAGTAAATCATTTTTGAAGACAACTTGGCATCAACTATTAATAGTCTAAACACAAATCTCTTGACCTAGCAACTGTATTTGCAAGAATTTATCCAATAAATACACATGTATATAAATACTGTATATAAGAATGTTCACCAAGGCTTTATAATAGCAAAAACTAGAAACCACGTAAATAGGACGCTGGTTGAGTCTACTGTAATATATTCATCCAGCTGTAAAAAATAAGAGATTGCAATGAACCTCATGAGAAATTATCATTAGATACATCATTAAATAGAAATATCAAGTTACAGAACAGTATCATGATCTCACTTAAGAAAAAATAATGATAACTTTAAAACAACCTTTTGTGTAAATGTATGGAGTACCAGTGCCATTTTGCTACATGCATAGATTGTATAGTAATCATCAAGGCTTTAGGGTATCTAACCTTCAAATAATGTACATTGTACCCATTAAGTAATTTCTCATCATCCATCCCCCGCTCACCCCCTCATCCTTTCCAATCTCCCTTGTCAATCTTTCCACTG